AGCCCAGAGCCCACACAGAGCTCAACACAGGCCTCCCCAGAGCCCCCCCAGCCCTCCTGCACTGAGCCCCCCCAGAGCTCCACAAAGGCCCCCCCGCCCCCGCACAGAGCTCTACAGACTCGCACAGGCCCCGCCCATAGCGCTCAGGGGACAGACCGTCCCTGGAGGTAAACAGTGCCAACCCGACACTGACCGCTAAGGTGCAGCATCAGTGAGGATGGGGTGGCAGCAGCTGCGCGTGGCTGGGCCGGGTCTGGACGACGCACACTCCACACACTGCTTCTCAGGAGGAGCTGGACGGACTGCTGCAGCGAGAGCAAGCCCAAGGGGCTCCTCAGCTCCCGGGGTGCAGAGCCTCCTGGGCCGGCCGCTTCCTGCTGAAGCTGCCCAGTGTTCCAGGGGCAGCGTTTCAAGACTGTCACTGCCCGCCAGCTCCAGGTCCACATCTGAACTGCCTCCCTTCTTAGCTTCTTCCTACTGCTAATCTAACCAGAAAATGCTCCCTAATGGCCGGGGTGGGGGTGCGGGGGCACTCTCAAACCCGCCCACGGAGGTCTCTGCCCAGCACCCCGCCTGTTAACCCACCGATGGAAGTTCAGGTAGATGGAGGCCACGTTGTTGTTGCTGGGTGCCTGACGGCAACCCTATGAACCCTGCCCTACCCTGGGCCGTCCTCATCTCAGAACTGGAACAGTCACCGTGTCAACCCATCTTTCACCGCCCCTCCACCTTTCCAAGCACGATGTCACTTTCCAAGAACTGACCCTGACCCTTCCTGGGCATAATATGCCCAAAATACATCAGCTGAAGTTTCCCACCGGCTGCCTCTAACGGGTGCCCTGGTCACACTTTCTCTGAGACATGAGTGCTTATTCTCTGGGCAGGCCACCGGTGGGCAGGCCACGGGCGGGCAGGCCTCTTCCCCAACACACATGCAATGCGCAGACTCGGGTTTTCTGTCCCCCTTATTCACTGGTCACTTTTCAGCGGCACAGCGGGTGAGTGCAAGCCCGTGGCTTGAATCATGCTCTTGTCCGTAAGTGTTCTGGAACATTCCTTGACAGCACATTCCCCCAGGACAGCTCCAAGTCAGAAAGCTGGAGGGAGAGCAGGGCCTCACGGGCAGGGGGACGACTGCAGACTCATCAAGACTGCTGCTCACTGTCAGGGGTCGCGGTGAGCACCACAGCTCCCACGGATCCTCTCACACACCGCACCTGAAACCTCATGTCTTTGTTGACCCGACACGGCCTTGGCGGTCACGGAGGAGAAAACGGACCAACTGGACTTACGTGAAATTTATGACCTCACATCCCAGGGCGGACACAGCCCCTGAGCCCGGAGAGGAGCCTGGCTGTCATGCGACGTTTGACTCCAAGCGGTCACATACCAGGGTGGACAGAGTCCCTGGGCCCTGACGGCAGCCTGTCATGTGACCTGTGTCCCCGCACACACTCATGTCCCAGGGCGGACACCACCTCTGAGCCTGGACATGTGACCCCATGCAGTCACATTCATGAGTGGACACAGCCCCTGAGCCTGGACAGAAGCCTGGCTGTCATGTGACCTCTGACCCCACACGGTCACATCCCAGGGGGGACACAGTCCCTGAGCCCAGACGGCAGCCTGTCATGAGACACGTGACCCCGTGCAGTCACGTCCCAGGGTGGACACAGCCCGAGTCCCAAAGGCAGTCTGGCTGTCGTGTGACCTCTGACCCCATGCAGTCACGTCCCAGGGTGGACACAACCCCTGAGCCCCGACAGGAGCATGGCTATCGTGTGACCTCTGACCCCAAGCAGTCATGTCTGGGGGTGGGTGCAGCCCCTGAGCCTAGGCAGCATGGCCCTCAAGCACAGGAGCGTCAGCTTGACCATGCATCACTGACCCTGTGCACCTTCCCTTTTCCAGAGCTCACAGACTGGACAGATGTCCCTTTGTTGTTGTTTGGTGCTGTCGAGCATGGGTCATAGCGACCCTGTGAACAAAAGGTCTGTACCCTGTTCATCCTGCACCATCCTCCCACTTCCTGACATACAGTCCGTTCCAACAATCACTGTGTCAGTCCACCTGGTCCAGGGTCTGCCTCTCCTTTGCTCTTCCTCCACCCAGCCCAGCATCACGTCCTTCTCCCAGGAAAAGTGCCTCCTAGCAACACGCCCAAGGTTACGTGAGGCAAAGCCTCGTCATTCTTGCCTCCAAAGAGCACTAGCTGCACCGTCTCCCAGTCACATCTGTTTGTTCTCTTGTGCATCCATGTGCAGTGCTCCTTTCCAACACCAGAACTCAAAGGTGTTAATAATTCTTCTGTCATCCTTATTCACTGTCCAGCTCTCAGACGCATAGTAAATAATCAGAAAGACCATGGCCTGAATCAGTGGCATCTTAGTGTTTAAACTGACCTCACTACTCCTTAATAATTTAAGTATTTTCCCCCCAGTGCAATGCATCTCCTTATTTCCTGACTGCTGATACCAAGGGTATTAACCGTGGATCCAAGCAAGATGAAGCTGTTGACAGTTTCAATCTCCACTCCGTCCATCATGACACGGCCTACTGGTCCCGTGGTAAGGATCTTCATTTTCTTGATACTGAGACACAATCCATACTGAAGGCTGCATTCCTTGATCTTCTGCAACAAGTGCTTCAAGTCCTCCTCACTTTCAGCAGGCAAGGCTGTACTGCAGGTTATCGATGAGTCTCCCTTCAATCCTGATGCCACACTCCTCTGCACAGAGTACAGCTTCTCGGATAATTTGCTCAGCATACGGACTGAACAGGTATGGAGACAGAATACATTCCTGATGCATTACTTTCTCAATTTTAAACCATGCAGTGCTCCCCTGCTCTGTTGGCACAACAGCCTCCTGGTTCAG